TAAAATTTTCAAAGTTCAGGGGGGGTTAGATAATTTTTCTTATGCTAATTTGCAAGATTCTCAAATTTCAGGGGGGGCGAGCGCCCCCCTCGCACCCCCCTGGCTCCGCCACTGGTTTGTGAGTTGGCTGCCCATCCTCCATTTGCCATTTTGCTCAGTAACAGTAAAAAGACGTGGCCAGGTTGAGTCCGGTTGCCAATGAGATTAAGTGTGCGTTTGGTACAGCTTCGGTTGAATTTTTTTGGTACTATTTATATTTTATAAATTATTTTTTTTTAAAATTTTATATTATTAAATATTTTTTTATTTTTAAAATTAATTTTTAAATTTTTTTCATAAAAATTTAAATTTATCATTCATAAATAATAAATAAAAACAAAAACTCTAACATGCACCAAACATGTCCTAAAACACGCCAGAAGAAAGTGGGACCAATGAGTGTTATATCCAATGGGATTAAAGGAACGTGGGTTTGAAGACCACGTGTGGAGTAAGAAAAGGCTTATGGTGTTTGGACTTTTGAGAATTTAATAATACCACGTCAGGCTTTGAAATGCGTGAGATGGCGTGATTTTGACTTTTTCTTCTTTTTACTAATTTTCATATTTAAAAATCACATTCCATGAGGGTTGTTTAAGATTCTTTCTCTCGCTGGCAATTGTTAGGGTTCCTCTATCCTCCGTTCTATGTGAGCTTCTCATTTCAGCATTTTCCTCCTTGTCAAAGAGCCTCTTCTTCTTTCTCTTTTTTGTGTTTTTTATTCCTTATTGGTGTTATGGCTTCAACTAAGATTTTGACTTGGAATTACAGAGGATTAGGCAACTCACTAACAATCTTTGAATTAAAAAAACTCTTCAGATCTCACACACCACAAATTCTGTTCCTCTTAAAGACAAAACGAACTATGACAAAGATGGACTGAATCCGATTGAAATTAGGTTTCTCCAATTGTTTTTCTATGGGCAGTAATGGTTGTAGTGGGGGATTGGCAGTGTTATGGAATGCAAAAGTGCATATCCAACTTCTCTTGTACTCTCAATCTCATATAGATATGGAAATCCAAGATTTGATAGACTTCTGCTGGTGCTTGATTGGGTTCTACAAACAACTAGATGTTAGTCGAGGCCATGAATCCTAAGCGCTTCTCAAATCACTAAAATCATACTCTTCTTTACCATGGGTTTGTGTTGGTTTTAATGAAATATTGACACAAGCAGAAAAGATGGGTGGAAAATCTAGATCTGAATGCCAGATAGAATCCTTTTGCAAAGCCATAGTATATTGTGGTTTTTTTGAGTTAGGCTTTAAAGGATCTCGCTTCACCTTTGTATGAAAGCAACAAGGTAGTTTATTAAGAGAAAGACTTGACAGAATACTCATGACTTGTGAATGGGTAGAACAGTTTCCAAACTCTATCTCCCATCACCTTCCTACCATTCAATCATATCATGCGGCTATTTTGTTGAGAACACAATGTAGCTTGTCGTGGATTGGTACAAAAGGAATGAGGCAATTTTGGTTTGAGAACTACTGGCTTTAGGATAACGAGTGTGAGACCATTGTTAAAGAAGCATGGAATTAAGGAATGGGTACTTCTGGACACTGTACTTGACAAAATGAACTGTTGCAAAGTTCTATTGCAGGATTGGAATGCTCATAAATATGGGAATATACCTGAGCGAATTAAGAAGTTGTAGTTTAATCTATAGTAGGTGCATGATGGTACTACCAATGATTGTAGCTTAGAGTATTTAGAGGCATTAGAGAAGGAATTCCGGGATCTACAAAAACAAGAAGAGGTTTATTGGAAAAAGAGATCTAGAGTTCAATGGCTTAAGGAAGGGGACAAAAACACATCTTTCTTTCACACAAGAGCTTCTGAGAAGAGGAAAAATAATTTCATTTCAGAATTGTAGTCTACAGATGGGCAATTAGTATGAGATTAGAGTGGCATGGAACAGATTGCATTAACCTATTTCCAAGGTCTCTTTACCTCGGAAGTTAAAGCAAATCCCTCCCATATATTGAGGAGGATTCGGCAAAAGGTTTCTCAAGCTGAGGGTATGGCAATGGATAGGCGATACACAGCAGATGAGGTCCTCTCTGCTCAGGAACAAATTCACTCTTTACAGGCCCCTGGTCTTAATGGGATGAATATCGGCTTTTTTAAGCACTATTGGCCAATTATTGGGAATCACGTCACAAAGCAGTGCTGGAATTCTTGAATGAGGGGACTATGGCTAAGGGAGTGAATAGGACCCATATTGTCTTAATTTCAAAGACAAAAAATCCGATTGCCATGAAGGACTTTTGGCCAATTAGCCTTTGCAATGTGATTTACAAACTCATTTCAAAGATGTTAACTAATTGTCTAAAACCTCTATTGTCGAATATGATCTCGAAGAATCAAAGTGTGTTTGTCCTTGGGCGACTAATATATGACAATGTTATGGTCGCCTTTGAGATGGTTCATCATCTAAAAAACAAATGCCAAGGCACCAAGGGAGACATGGCCATTAAGCTAGACTTGAGTAAAGCTTTTGACAAGGTAGAATGAGATTTTTTACAAAGAGTGATGCAAGCTATAGGACTCTCTTCGATGTAGGTCGAACAAGTAATGACTTGTGTTCCAATTGTGGAATACTCTATTGTGGTTAATGGCTCAATAACATGGGAGTTTACGCCATCACGAGGAATTCGACAAGGAGATCCTTTATCTCCTTTTCGTTTTCTTTTTTGTGTTGAGGGCCTCTCTTCATTACTAACGGAAAGGTTACAAAGTGGAAGCCTAAGGAG